AGTGCAAATTAGTAAAGACATATGAAAACATATTTATATTTGAATTGTATTTTTTTATTGCCGCTTTGCACAATTGCTAGTTTACTCGATTACATAATTCGTTACTAGAGATCGTGAATGACTTTATTGTGGTATTATATTATAAAATTGTATTATAAGATTTATGCAAATTATGAAAATTTTATATTTAATATTGTTAATATAATCCAAACATATCAAATAATTATTCAACATTATTTATAAAAATATAATTATACAAAAACTTATCTCTTAAAACAAATTTTATTTAATTTTGTAAGCTGCAAAGTAAATAAATATTGTGAGCAAAATGAATTAAGAAGAATGAAGAGTTTTAGCTCAAAATCGTATAAATCGTAAGTGGAACGAAACGAGAAAAACAAAACAAATTGAGCTAAAGAGATAGCGAAATGGAAATTGTGCAAAAAATTTTAAAATTTCTTTAAGATGCACAATAAGAGAATTTTAAATTATTTAAACTAATAAATTATTGTTAACTAACAAAGATGTATATAGAAATAATAAACAATTTTTTATTTACTGGAAATTATAATATACCACAGAAAATAAACTCAAAGAAAGACAAGAAGCACGTGCTATATAAAAAAAAGAAAACAAGAAAAACCAGTAAATACAAAAAAAAAAAAATTTGCAAAATAAAACAAGAATGAAATGAAAAACACTAGATTTGCCGGTCTTTCATCATTTGTTTACAAGCAGTAAGCAGTGTTGCCGTTTCTTGAAATTATCAAACCAACTACAAGCAGTTTGAGTTTATACTTATAATTTATTATATTGTATACAATAATTTAATTATATTAATTTATATATATATTTTAACATTTTTTTGCAATATGTTATTAATTTTTTTAATAAAGTTTAAAACAAATAAAAATAAAATAAAAAATGCATTATTTCATTGTTGAAATGCATCAGCGTTTAAAAAGCAAATTTACGCTAATAACAGGAGCACGCACAATTTCGTTATGTTAACCCAAAAGGAGTGTAAAGAAGGAATATTAGAAAATGTGGAGAACAAACAAAATATGCACGCAAAACAGAATAAAATAAGCAATAAAAAAAAAAAAACAAAACCACTGTTGAAAACAATAGAAAAATGGGAGTCGTTAGTTGTTGTTGTTGAAGTGACTGGATGGATATAAAAGCAAATGTGAAAAAAACAATTGCTTTCTTAATGATATAAAGAGGAGCAGCAGTGGCAGAAGCAGTAACAGCGGCAGCAGCAGCACCAACAAAGGTAAGTTAAGTGACGACTGCTCATCAATATAAAATGATGAGAAAAGCCGTGTCTAGACCAAGCACAGGGTGTTTTATGTTAATTAGTGTGTATTTATTTGAATACAAAAAAATTGGATTATGTATAAAACATTTCTTAACAAAACTTTTGATTTTTTATTAACATTTTATTAAAAATTAATATCGCATTAAAAACTATACCAATACTCAGTAGTCATAGTTGAATTATTTAAATTATACACATTCGACTAGAGTTCAATTCATTAATTACTAACAATTTATTAATTGAAAATAGTTTTTAAACCATTCTTACCAAATTATAATAATTCGAGTCTTTTGACGAACTCATATACATACATGAAAAAATTTTACCCATCCCTAAGGGGAGAAGATCTGATTATGATAAAAATATATAAATATTCTAAAATTGGAGTAATTCGAAGTACTAGTTTATTTGGGAACAAGTGTAAACACTAAAAATGATGTCAGTCTAGAGATTCAACGACGAATGCAACTTGCCAACAGATGTTAGTTCAGATTAAGTAAGTAATTGAGAAATAAAGCCTTTTTTAGGAAAAAAAATATCGCTCTACAAGTGTCTTATCATATCTGCACTGCTCTGTGATGCAGAAGCTTAGTAAATTACTAACAAAAATCACGCTCTACAAGTTTCTTATTATGCCTATCCCGCTGTAGGTGTAAAAGCTTAGACAATCACCAACAATGATGAGGAAGCGATAGGAGCATTTGAAAGAAAAATTCTTTAGATGATTTATGGTCTCTTTTTTCGTTGACAACGAGTATCGAATTGGATGGAACGATGAAGTGTCTGAGCTACACCACGACATTGACATAGTTAAGCGCATAAAAATTCAGAGGTTTTGCTGGCTTGGTTATGTCGTACGAATGAAAGAAAATGGTTCAGCTAAAAAAGCGTTTGATTCGATACTTCCTGGAGGAAATGCGATAGAAAACCCTCGCATCTTCAATGGAAAGAGCAGAGAACCAACAATATGGAGACACTCGGTACTACCAACTGACAATATTAAGCAACATAACGGCTGAACACGGCCAAGCACGACCTATATCTGTAATAGCTAATTAAGTAAGTAAGCAATAAATAACTACAGGATTGAAAAACAGTCTAATACCTCTGCACAAAAAGAGAGACAAAATGGAGTGTTTAAATTTTGATGAGGAGAAGAAGATGCAGATGTTGAGATAAAGAAACTAACAAATATTTTCAAAGACTATCAATGATAAATATTTATGCAGTATTCGAAAGAATTGTATGAATAGTCCACAAATATACTTTATTAAAATATAAATTAGGTGAGGGTGAAAGGTTATCAGCGCGTGCTGCTGAATACTTCGACTCGTAGACATCTAACAACGATTATTTTCTGTCATTGTTCTTTTTAAACCCTTTGCTTTGAGGAGATCCGGCAAGTCTACTTGTCAAATCAGGGAAGAAACGACCTCCTAGACAATGAAATCACTTTGTCTGCAGTTTAAGTTAGATCAAGTTAAAGGGTTATCACCACGTGTTGATTTAACAGTCAGCACTTTCACATGAAGACCTCCATTGACCATTGTAATGCCTCAAAGTTGTCTGAGAAAGGCAAGTTAACTATCTGTTGATATATCCTGGCATTATCCAGGATATATTTATTTCAAGCTAAAGAAGAAACTATATCTAAGATATTAAAATCGCTTCATCTGTAGAAGCGAACAAAGCCATATAAACTGATTAATGTATTCTATTTCTTCTGTATCATAACAACACCTGCACAATCCATTTGTCAGAATACGCCACCATTAAAAGGTAAGAAATATAAAAAAACTCTGCGAGATAATTTTCGTATTTATCTTGTTATTCTAATTATCTTAGAAAATAACAATGGTTTATTCGATTATTTCGAACATTTTTTACACAACATACAATATTAACATAAACATAAGTTTATGACATTATAAATCCCTACTTTAATTTACGTCATATTAAAAAACGTAGAAAGACAGTAAAATTCATAAGAGCTTATGGTTTAATAAAACGTGCCATTTTTTTCTGTTAAATATCATGCTCTTTTCGGATTCGGTAGAAAAAAAAACACGCTCCAGTAATTGCAAACATACTATTTTTTATGTTGAAGGATATACACACAGGACATTACTTCACCATACTGCAGGGCACGAGTAGCTCGTGTGTAATAGTGGAAACGTGTACATCGTAATAAAAGTGCATATTTCAGAGTTGAAAAATTGAAGTGGAAACTAACAGATAAGATAGAAATGTATTTCAGGACAGAGTATATGATATGTAACAAGGATTAACTTATTTTTGTAACTAAATAAAACTTTATAATGCAATTTGCGTATCAAATCAATTGACAAAAATTTAATTAACTGAGCTTTAATGGAGCTGAGAAAAATCGTTGATATTTTACTTATAGTATATACTCTGAAGTAAGTAAAATATTTTTGTATTACAACCATAGAAAGATATATTTATCGTTGTATGTCCTTTTTCTATTTTTGAAAAATGCTTTACTCAGATGAAATGATGCTGTAGTTTTATGACAAAATTACTAGAAAAACATGTACGAAAATTAAGTAGTCCACGTGCCAGTTAATTTAGGGACATTTAGTTTGGTTAAGTGTAATAACTTTTAATTAAATAATTTTACAAAATATGAATTTTTTAAATTATTATTTAACTCTTTTGCATCTTTAATATTATTATAATATATAAATTTATTTCAATAAATCCAAACTGAGCTTGTATTTTTATTTATACTTTTCTATAAAATACACAAACACTATCATTATATATTGATTGAATAATATAAACAAAATTGATAGTTTTTAGTAATACAATAAATAATAGACGCAATATTAACATTAAATTGAGTATATACTATTCAATATTATATCATTTGAAAGGACAATCACATACCACAATATTTGAGATATTTTGCACTTATCCTTATAGAAACTCTTATTGTTTAAGTTCAAGGGTGGTACTTGGTTGTCAATGGGATAACCTATTTAAATTAGTTATTCGAAATTTTTTTCATACTGAGTAGTCGAATATATATACCACAAAAAGATTCGTTCCCTTTAATGGAAATTGGGGCACTCCTGTATTCTCGTGAATACTTCTGCTTGAAAAATAATGAAAACACTTCTCAGTGAAATTAGGTGTTCGGCGAAATTGGAGTGATAGCCTTGTATATTCAATCTTACCAGTATTCAAATAATAGCCTCTTATGATATCACGGATAAACGTTGTTCAAACATAGACCAAAAGGAACCTCAAAAGAACTATTGTGGTAGGCGTACGAATAATACTAAAAGGCCCGAATCCCTCACTCAAGTGAAAGTAAACCAACCTGATTAGTCTATAAACTTAACAAAGCCCTTAATTTTACAACACTGACAACACTGTTAAATCGGTAAGAAAATGGACCCTCAAAATTTTAAATCTTCTATTGTCCAGAAGAAGTTGAAACCAGGATTCTCCCTCTATTTAAAATCATAACCACAATAAAAGTTATTATAGAGTAGCCCAAATCTTTTAGTAAGTTCTGCTTTAGTTTAAGTAGCCGACTGGTTACTTTATTGTCCCATTGAAATTAATATATTATTATTTTGTACAACATTAAAGTATTAAAATATATATTATATTGAACACAGTTTATTTAAAACGTCATATGTGTACCATTTTAGTCAAGAAATTCTATAAATAAAAATTATTTTCACCACATATAATAATTGAGTAATTGAACAGATTAAGATTTAAGAATGAAATTTACTTAACCTTTTTTTATCAATTAATGAGATATATTAAGGGTATACATGTGTAATTCCTTAATATATAACCATATATACATATGGAATTATTTTAAAATTAAACAAGAATCAAATTAAACTCACCATTTGAAAAATCTGTAACTTCTAAGTCTTCATCCTGACGTGCACGTTTTTCCACTAAAAAAAATAATTATAAACGAATTAATACATTTATTTAAATATTTTATTGCATATTACAAATTTGCTTCATTATAGCTACTTTATATATTCTTTATTATTAATATTACTACATATTATATGTTATTAAATATTACATATTTATATAGTCAATGTTTTCATACTGTAAATATGTACTACTTAAACAGAAGGGGAAGGTATGATGCGTCTTCAAAACCATCCGTTTTGAATATATACAATATATATCTATAAAATTCCTAGAGTGTATATATATATATATATATATATATAAAATGTTATCAAATAAAACTAATAAATTGATTTAAAATTAAATAAATTAAAAAAAAAAAAACTTTTTAAAACTTTTATTTTAAAAATGGATAAATTTATCAATAAAATAATATACTTATAGATTATAACTATTGCTGCAATAAATTTTATTATTTCTTTTTGGGATACACGAAATTATTCAATACACATTATATTGACCAAATTTACCCCCATCTCGTCACACCCATCGATCTATATAATCCATATCTATCAATCAATTAATCGTATCTAGAATATATCGGTAATTATTGCTACGTGGAATCTATACAATACTGACATCAACTACAACGAACAGCTTGCATCTCTACAGACTGATGCAGTATCTGCTTTGAGAGTATACCTTTGTAGTTATTTAATTCGTAAAAGGCATTCGATTCTTATCTCTCAGGAACATAGATTGCTATCTAGGATAGCAAAAAATATTCCTGCCTTAATGTAAAATATAACCATATGATAAGAAGATACTTATTACAATCTACTATATCTATTTTTAATGTTTATACAAATTGCAGCTCCTCTAAGTTCTCTAAGATATATAAATCTAAACTCATTGATGTATGTCCTTGTCATATGTTCTTTATTTTATCTCCTTTATTTGCCACTATTAAGTTTTCTGTAACACGATAGACTGGGCATACTTGCTGGCTACTAAAGACAAGCGTAGTATTAAGATGTCTTACACAACAAATATAAACAATATAAAAACCTTCTAATAAAACAATTGCTTTATCAAATTTGAATATATATTCTAATACAATAGAAATAAACTGCAAAGGAATATGTTATTAAAATAAAATAAAATAGATTTCCTATAAAAAAATAAAGTAGAATGGTTTCTTTCCTCATAACTGACTTTAAAATATAAAATCTTAGTTAATATAAAATAAACAATTAAATGTTATTTAATATAATATAAAAAAAACCATAAATTATTATTTACAAAAATTTTAAAAATTTACTTAAATTAAATAAACAATGAAATTAAAAACATTTTTACAAATAAACTTACTTGCAATAAAATCACTCGACGTTCTTGGCCGTATTTTTCCCATAATTTTACTGATTTTATTATCATTGTGTGGTTCCTTTTTCTGTTTGGCTTGCGGTAAGGGTCCAGGGCAATTTTCGTCTAACACTTTCGAACAAGGACGGTGAATATTTAATTTACAGTCTAAAAAAAAATTGAAATATGTTAAAAATATAAAATTATTTAATGCATATTTACAAACCTGTACAATGATAACCTTGTGGGCTAACACCCCATATAATGGTCTGACAATGATTACAGTGCGTCACTTCGTAGTATTGGCGTAATACTAATGGATGACCACGTACCATCATCTAAAAGAAAACAAATATTTGAGTATTGCTAACTTTACAAATAAATTCATTTAATATTAATTAATAAATTCATTATTATTAAGTAATGTAATTAAAAATAATTTTCTGGATTTCAATTTTTTGTTAAAATAGTATTTGATTTTAAGATCCCTGATCTTAAAAAAAAAAACCTACATATCTTAACTCATGTGAATTAACTATGTGAATACACTGTACAGTGACAAAATAAGTGTGGTGTGAGGCCTTTTATTTATTTTTCTTATAAGTGCATCAAGCATCATTGAAAAAAAGTCACGCATAAATACATCTATTTCCAATGTATGCCCTAACTGAAGCTCTTCTGACCATTGCGCCGCCCATCTGTTTTGCTGTCGTTCCACTCACACAAATCTTCGTCCAATTGACTTTTGAGCCCACCCCATTGTAGTAGTCACGTTTCTTCGGCTGGATCCAGGCTAAAGTTCAATTTCTTTTTCCCCAACCACTACCTATCTACTTCCCTACCCATGTAATATCGTCTTGTATATCCTTTCATGTTTCTGGTTACGGACTTCTTCCTATCTTATGTTTAATTTTTCTATAATATTATATTGTTACTATTCATGATTTATAAATAAAAAGTAAACCCTTTAGCACTAAACACTACATAGTATATAATATGAAGGGTAATCTATAAATTTTTTTTAAATATATTTTTTTATAGTTTTACTTCAACTCACTTTTCGATTTTTGCCCATAAGACGAGATTTAAAACTTTTTTCACGACTCACAAAATGATGCACACGATCTATAATACTATTTGGATGTGAACGAGTTATAAAAATGCGATGTATGACAGTCGATAGTGCAGAACATAAAGCTAACTTCTTTGGATCCTCAATCGGTAGATCCTTTTCATACTCCTCACTATAGAATAAAAAATTATATATATAATTTTAAAAGTTAATTAAACTTTAAAATATCATTTGTATCAAAGTAAAACTTACATTTTTGTCTGCAATTGACGCATTAAAGTTTCTTCAAAAATGTGTTGTTCACGTTGTTTATCACCTTTTGCTTCTGCCAATTGAGCATCTGTTGGCCCATAAATAGTACCCAAACCTGCGGTACGTTTCTGTTGAAATTCTCGCAATTGGTCACAGATAATATAGCGTGCACGCTTTCGACTTTTCCAAAAGACTTTACGTAGAATCTCAACTTTATCAAATTCACTTTGCAACACATTATCAACTTCACGCGCCAGCGATTCATCTTGCAAATACCAGGCAAGAGGGGCGCGTGGAACTAAAAACGTTGAATGTATTTCATAAGCCCATTTTCGCATATCTTTAGCTGTTCCCTCTTTATAAAGACCAGTTATTAAATAGAATAATAATGGAGCTGGCTCAGAATTGGAAAGCACATAATTTAGAAACACAGCAAGGAAAGCAACATTTTCAGCTTCCAGCAAACGTTGTAAATAATTGAATGGACCATTCTCATCTATAAATGGACCCTCCTGATCAGAAGCATCTTCATCCTCCATTGATATGATTTCTTTTTGTGTTGCACTTGTTTGTGCCGCTTGTATGCGACTGGAATGTGTAGCAGCAGTCTGTGGCAGCGGCGATGCAGCACCGGAGAGCGGTGTAAAATGATGAGACTCAACAAAAATACCGCTCGAGCCTAAGTGATCATTAGAATCTTCCATACCAATTGTATTTGGAGATTGGGCTGTTAAGTATGGTGGTGGCGGAGTACCTGGTGGCGTTACTTCACCATCTTTTTCAACGAGTTCCCATGAACCAGAAGTCGTTTTATTGAGGCGATCTGCATTAACGCGAAAAAAGATAATAATTAAAATTTAAAAGAAAAAAATTTGTATAAATGTTTGCACGGCGTCGGAATTATAACTAAAACAAAAGGAGCGTAAAATATTGTTTAAAGCGAGCTTTGTAATAATAAACAGTTTCTTGATAGTCCGGTAAAGAGAATTACTTGAGCGCTACAAACTTTAAACTGGCATAATCAGTTATTAAAATATCGTATTTTTTTTGTTATGGTCTGCTTTAAAATATCTTATATGATGTCAAACTGATCGGACTGGTTATAGCGAACACTCTGTGATATGTTCTAATTAATTGCTTTCTGTCGTTAACTTAATGAATAATACAACACATAAGAAGCAGTCAGTACATATTGTTTGATGCAATTTGGAATATTTATTCAGTTGATTTTGAAAATGATATTGTATTTCAGATATTCTACATAATAAGTATCTTGTATATTAAATAAAGTGTTAGCAAAACTTTTTACGCTTAGTTGCTCTTAAAATCCGATAAAATTTTTAATATTCAGCAAAAGCTAAAGCACTTTTAAAAATATTAGAATGATTAAACAACCCAGCATTGAACTGCATTTGAAAAATTTTAAATATTTTGTGAATATGGGTAGGGTATCTATGACGTCTTCGTATATGATATACTATAGAAATGGTTAGGCATTTCACACAATTTTTACATATGCCAATCCGCGAATTTAATTGTTTTAAATATAAAAATTTACGGTTGATGAACATAATTTTTTTATTAATAACACTAATGTACAAGGGACGTAACTTAAGTAAAATACTAACAAAAACTTGTAATATTGCGGTTTATTTAAAGTAAGAAGAAGACCTGAAGTTCATACAACAATAAAAAATATTTAATTATTTATTTAACTTTGGTATTTAAAAATTTGACTTAAGTACATAAGTCGGTCCTTGTGTATGTTACGTAAAGTAGACAAAAGTTTAAACATTGGTGAAGATGTTTAAATTAGTTTCACATTAATTAGTTTTAGATTATATAAGATGAGATAATTGGTAAGTTGCGCGGAATTATGAAGTGTAGAGCTACAGAGTCCAGAGTGATTATTGTATTCTTAACACAAATATCAAGATAATACGCCGATTAACGACCCATTGGTATTTCAAAGAATTTCCACCGATACCAGTTGAAGTTATGCGATTATACATAATTTTCCTACTGGTAAGGAGTGAGGCCTACCTAACACCTCCACTGATCTTTGATCTTTGAGCACCTACTTAGAAACTGCAACTCCACATCGAATGAAAGTAAATAAATACTATCATTCTTCCCGCGTAAGTTTGGGTTTTAACCACAACCACCACAACACTCCCTCCCTTAATTGGCCAGAACAGCCAAATTGCCTGTGGTACCAGATTTACACCTCCGATCAAGTGAAACTCACTCACTACCATTTACACTCCATTTACCATTTACAGTATCGCATAGTGCCCTGAATTTTAGCCGCCTCTTAGGACAGACCTTTCCTCGGGAATATTCTAAGCCCTTTCCCATGGGAGTAAGTGTAAAGCTACAAATAGGTCAGATGACAGAAATAGATGAGATACTATTTATTAATAAAAAATAATCTATGAATTTACGTTACTGAACTAAAAAACGTTTTATGAACGGTAAAAATTCTGAATACCTATCTAAGAAGTATATCTTCTACTAACCCTAAACAATCTTCTTTATTTTTATTTTATTTTACTATCCAATCTAAATCGAATTTATATAAATTAAATATTTAAGTTTAACTCACCAGGATGTCTTGGGTGCATATTTTCTGGAGATGATACAACACGTCGATGCTTATTTAAATGATTCTGTGGATTATGTGGCGTTTGACCAAGTGCCTAAAAAAATTTTCAGAAAAATAAATAACTTGATTTTATATTCATTTAAAAATAAACCCAAAATATTTAAATTTTTGTTTACAAAAATATATATAAAATTATCACATGCATTTCCAGAGATTTTATAGGAAAAAAAATTGCATAGTATAAAAAATGTTTAAGAATAAAACAAAAATCAATTGTATAGTGTGTCTTTATATATACATATATACAGTGTTATCTAACATGCATAAAAAAATTATACCATTAATTATAAGTGCACATAATATAAACTTAAATACAAAAATCTACATATATACAACCAATATAGGGAAGGTAATTCTACTTAAGTTATTCTTAAACCTCTTCAGTTTTATTTCTAACAAAATACAAATAAGTTTCGTAAAAATTTAGAAACTTTAACATATACTACAAAAGCATTAAAATTACAAAAGCCGTGTTTTTAGATCTGAGAGAATTGGTATATAGCCCAATATCAACCACTTGTTTTTTATAGTGCTTAGATGTTAAGAATACATAAGATTTATTTAAATTTTGAAAAGTGAAGAAAATAATGTAAAAGTATATGCGATAGTTTTTGTAAGAGTGTAGGATAGATCAAGGTTTCTCAACCACCGGTGCACAGACCGGTACCAGTTTCTTTAGTACCACCAATACATAAAATATTCTATTTTCGTATTTAATGATATTATCTTTTTGAAAGATATTGGTGATATTGGTACCGGTCTGTGCATTAAACATACAATATTTTATCGGGTCTTATAAAACACATTGAATATTTTTTCGATCCGCAGTACTTTTTTGTTTGAGAAACCCCGTTGTGAAGGTATAAAAATTATAACAAAATAAAGCTATTATTGTTAGTCTGGAATAAAAATATTTACAAGACTAGAAATAATGTGAAATATATATAGGTAATGCGAGGATTACTTATGCCATAATGTATTGATATAAGTTTTCAAATTTTTTGATATGTGTAATAAATGCATTTATTTTTTAACAAATCAGTATCAGTAATAGGTTTAATGATCTCCATCATAAACAAGATATTTGTACATATAATATTAGTAATACCATTAAGTTATATGTATATAAAAACTTTGTACTTCATGAATATTCATATTATACAATGCAGAGTGCTTAGTTTTATGTAAAATTAGTTAATTTTGCTTAAAATTACTATTAATTTTTAAAAATCTACTACGCCAAATCATGTTTGAATACTTGTGGTGAACTAAACAAAACCAAATATTATTAATAAACACCACCGACGATAGAATTGTGTATAGATAGATTCAATTAGGTTTAAATAGTAGAAAGTTTTACAATATACGAGAAAGCTACCAGTAAAAATCCCAGTACAAAAGCGTATTTCTGTTGTCTGAAGTTGATGAAATGCATATTACTTACTGCTGCTGTTGTTGTTGTTATTGGTGAATTTGTAATACAAGCACTGATAGCACCTTGCAATTGTTGCTGTTGCTGCTGCTGCTGTTGTTGTTGTTGCTGTTGATGTTGGTGTAATTGTTGTTTTATATTTGGACGATGTGAAAGAGGAAATGCCGCTGCCATATTATCCCGATGTATTGGGGTACAACTGGATACTAATGGATAATTTAATATGGTTTCAATGCTATTTGGTTGTGGTCGCGCTGAAGGCCCTCCTGTATTATTTAAATTTTGGAAACTACCTTTATGTGATGATTCTTCTAACATCATACCGGGCTGACGCGGTGGTAGTGGTGGTGGTATACAATCTACTTCGGTTGCTGTCATACCATCGAATAGACCACGATTCGAACCAGTGGCCGTTTCCATTTGTAAAAATATTTGTGTGGACATTTTAGGATCTGAGAGCGCTTTCGTTTTAGTTTTACCACGTTTCTTTTGCACTGAGGATGTAACACTCGATGTTGGTGTCGCACATGTTGGTTGAGGTGAATTACGTTGTGGACTTGTTATTTGTGAATGATCCAAATCCGATATTGGCGAAAATAATTGATTATTATTATTTGTATAATTAAGACCGCTATTACTACTATTGTTATTATTATTATTAGATGTCAAATCTAATTGTAGTTGTCTTGGAGGATTTCGCTGAGGTAATGGTGGTGGTACATCCTCTTGTATTGCATTTTTAGCTTGTGCAGCGAATTTATTTTTACTCTTTGAATTAGAAGATTTTGGAGTTTCCTTTAAGCGTTGTTGTACTAATTGTTGTTGCTGATAAAACAATTGTTGAGAATTGCGATGTTGTTGCAACTGTGGTTGATGCAAAGATTGTGTCATATTGAAAAGTGGTGACCCAGTACCCGTCGTGGAAGTATGTAGAAAATCCGTTGTATTATTAAGTGGTGAAGTTATTAGATCTTTATCAATTTTATTTTTACGTGTGCCCAACGATAGCGAAGATAGCGATCGTGGTAAGAGAGATAGGAATGCAGGTGAGGATTGTGTTTGTGGTGTGGTTGCTTGATTATGGTGCTGTTGTGAGGAGTTTAAATGGTGAAAATTGGTTTGATGATGATGTTGTGAGGACGCCGACAGATGATGAATTTGATTTGGCGTTAACATAGCAGTATTTTTATTGTTGACAGTTGGTTGATATTTAATTGTTGGTGCATCCTGTTGATAAAATGTTTGTGGAGATAGTAGAAGTATAATAGATTGTTTATACAAAAGTGTTGGTAGAGGTATAGTTGCAAAAAATGGCAGCAGGGATTAACAGGAAATAAAAGTAGGTAGATAATATTATAGTATAAAGTATATTAATAGTATGAAATAGTATACTCATATATATCAATTGAGTTTTAAGTATATTAATAGAGACTCTAACTAGTTTAATAGATATACTCAAATATCTTAGTGTGTAAGTTATCGTAATAGACTTGAAAAATTATTTTCCAATATCTCAATTGAATTTTAAGTATAGTAATTTCAAGAAAAACTGTATTCAAATTTTATAAGATAGCCAATTAATTCAATTTCCAAATAAAAGTTCATATGAAAAATAATGTTGAACTGAAATATATCAACTTGATTGTATTCAGTAAATATAATACAAAAAAGTTATTTACTAATGATAATATTATTAAGAACATGGCAATATGATTTAATAACTCCAGTTCAATATGATAAAATTAGTTATAAAATATTTTTCATAACATTATCTTATAGTCATATATATTGAATGCATATGAGTGAACACGAACCATTGCATATGATTTATAAAAGAAAAGTTTAAGAAAGGTTTGTGAGTGAGTTGTGTAAATATATCATAATATTTTGTTAAAAATATGAAATTTAAAGTAATATTTTTTATATAAAGACATTTTTAAAATTATGTGAAAATTGTGCAAAATTATGTTCATGTATAGTTTAAACACAGAATTAAAAAAATTACAAAAATATATATATGGTATTATTAGAATTGAAAGCTAGATGTAAAAACAAATGTGCTGTGCACAGAAAAAAATAGTAGAATTTACATTTTTAAATATTTATGAAGGGCAAACAATATTTATAAAGTAATTTGAATAAACAATTTTTGTTTACAACAAATAAATGGTAACAGAATGGAATAAATATTAAAAACTATTATGCGCCTTAACCTTAAATAAAATATTTTTTAATTAAAACTGTCGCTAACACTAAAATTAATAGAAATTCATATATATAAGCTAATATAATAGCTTAGCCGTTATAAAATTAGTTTAATTGAATTTTAATATAATACTTAAAATAATTATAATATATATAAATGCTAATATAAAATTACCAACTTTAAAATAAAATACAATAAACCTAAACCATGTAAAAAATTTAAGATAAGTTCGAGTTAACAATTCTAAAATATATTTTATAATAATAACTTGTTATATACATATGTTTCTTAAATAATTTTTATTTTTAAGGCATTCAAAGTTTGATTAAAAATATTTACACACACTTTTTACTTTATAATTAGAAAGTTTTTTAATTAGAAAGTTATTTAGGATGTTACTGTTAGCGTACAGCAAAAGAGCATTAAAAATAAAAATTAGCTGCAGCTTGAACATATAGTTTTTAATAAAAAAAATAAGTATATATATTATATTATATATTATAGAGATATAAAAATACTTAAAAAAACAACTTTGTCAAAAAAATTTGTTTGAAAAAATTCCTTACAACAATAAAATTAACGTCAGTACATTCATTATAAGGCTTAATTGCCTTTATTAATATAATACGAGCTGAAATATATACTTTGTCCATCCAATACATACCTCTGCACCAACTTGACGTAGTTGTTCTTTTAATCTTCGTATATTCGCCTCAGATAACTTATAACTTGGATGATTGGTATCGCCTTTATGACGTTCTAAATTCAATTTTTCCTGCTCAAGCATTTTTTGCAATGTTTGTATCTTACAAGTTTCCATTTCACGACGTTTAATACTCTAAAAGATTGAAATAATAAAAATAAAATTATAAATAATAATAAATTAAATATTATATGTTTTTTACTCACATCAACTGGTTGAGGTCCAGTAATGGATGCAGTTCTATCTCTGCCAGAGAGTATGGGTGTTGATGGTACTACGCCTACAGATGTCGGTCGCACCATTTTGAGATTCCGCTTAACAGCCAATTCAACAATATTGGAAGCTAAAATATAATAATTTTTTAATAATATAAATTTTAATATTTTATTTGTAAATATAATTTATAAAGATATAAGTAAAAACTTAAGGTTTAGTTTCGAAATAAGTAAGGAGCATTTAGCTTAAGTAAGGTTAGATTAGGTTATAATGGCGATCCTTATGATCTACTAGGATTATTGACCTTTTTGTAACCATACATATTTAAAAGGGTTTAAAATTATCTGGAATAAAAATAACATGCTCTTTAAGTAGGTATTGTAGCTAACTAAGATCTTTTTAAAAGTGAATATAATATATTTATGAAGTAATAATAAAAAATTAATGGTTAGTTTCTAAATAACTAAGAAATGTGTAGATTACGTTAGCTTAGGTTAGGTTATAATGGGAATTCTTATGATATATTTAGAATTATTGACATATTGTATGACTGTACAAAGCTCGAAAGGTTTAAGATTATCTGGAATAAAACATAAGATGCTTATATATTGATATTGAAAATATTGAAAAAAGATATTGAAATTTTAAAAAGAAGAGCTGATGGTTGGGTCATGCTGCTCCCAAAAAGTTGGCAAAATATATTGAACGAGGTTTATTTGAAAGAGGTTTTTCGAACAGTAGTGAGTATTTATTAATAATGAATATTTATTTAATTTAATATAACATAAAACATTGTCCTTTCGAAAAATCTCCAAATTATCTCTCAAAAAACAAATAATCTAAATTATAAATGGCGCAAAAATTATATTGTTTGTTATTTAAAAAAAAAATAAACTATAATGATTTTCCATGCAGTATGGATGTGAAAAAATTTATAATTATAATCTGATAAATAATAAGTCTTTCACTAGATCAAATATTTTATGATTAAAATAAAATTTCCTATATAATTACAAATATAAAATCAGCTCAATCACTTCTTTAAATTGCAAAAATGAAACTAAATCTCATTTAATTGTATATATTGTAGCTTTTGGATGCTCACCTTTAATTAAACTGACCACTGTTGGATGCTTTTCGGAACGCACTTCTTGCCCATTGACCTAAAAAGAATGTTAAAACGTTATACATTTTTTTCCACACAAATATTTTAAGTGACTTGCAAAAAATTAATCACAAAATTTATTTTTATTTTCATTTTTTGCAATAAAAAGTTCATTTTATATTATATTTTGGCAAACCTTTAAGATCATGTCGCCGGCAACTAAACCAGCAATTTGCGCCGCTCCACCTGGTTTCACGCTTTCAACAAAAACTGGATTGTCACCAGAAACCTAAATAAAAATAAAAACAAAAAAAATTGTTTTGTTATAAATATTTTATTTTTTATATAAGTCACTTAAATTTTTATTTTAATAAATTATTTTAAATTATTTTAATTATTACACAATTTTCAGTGAGAAATATTAACAAAATGTTTATAAAAATCATTGTCCTATAAGAAAAGTTGTACAGAATTTATATATAATGGGAATAAGTTTTTAAAAAGAAATTAAATCTATAGCCAGAATTTTTTAAATAATTGCCTATAATTAGGCAAAAGGCTTAAGTAAGATTACACATTATCCAATAATATGATCACTGCGACTTCTAATAAATGCACTCAGTACTAATTAAGCTGAGTAGTACTGACTAGTAGAGACTAGTGAGTAGTACTCTTGTTATGACGAAATAAACGGAACCTATTTAAAACGATCTTTCGGCTAAACTAAAACAGAAAGTGAGCACTTAATTTGAATAAGTAATTCTTTTATTTAGGTTTTCACTTAAACGAACCGGTCTCTTTTAGTTTAATTTAAAGGAAAATTACTGTGTGTATAGTATTTGATTAGTAAAGTAAAGACTTAATACTTCAATTCTGGATATTGCAGAGTAAAGAAGTATCTATCGAATCTAGATATCATAAGAAACAATATTTGCAAACTTTGTCATGAAGAAGAGGAAACAGCAGAATACCTTCTGTGTCACTGTGATAGTCTCGTCTCGCTAGACTCAGATTTCGGCACTAATCAACTGCCTATCCACTTATAACGAAAAATGGGCAACATCTCTCCATGGGACCTAATGACATTTTTAATTGCTATGCGCTTATAAAACTAAAATTAGTTTGTCATAATAATTCTGAAGGATGTAGTGACATACTTCCCAACTCCTTAGATCTAATCTAAACTAAATGAACTGTAAGGCTCATCTAGATTAAACCTAAAAAATAAACAAGTTGAAATCTTAATCTAGTATTTTAGGTCGACTAGCTCAAGAATGGGTTTTACACCAAGTGACTGTTATAGAAACTGTTGTAGAAGCTTGTAGCAAATAAAATAATAAAAAATTATATTATTACAGCTGGGAAATATTTCATAGGTATAAGATATATAAAGATATGGATCTAATGGATTCTTAGTCAACGAAATAACAGACAAATTTACCAGAGAAGTAGTAATCGTTTATTGACATGGAAATCATTCTGTAGCTTAGAAGAAAGTAATATTTTTTCACTTATTCAGAAAGGAGAGTAAAAACACAGAAAACTATATTTAGACAATCAAACTATACATACTAGGACTTTTACATCGAAATCGTTTCTACGAAATTTCAACCTAAAACGATTTAAAGCTTCCCTAAAAATAATGAAAACAAAATAAAAATCTTTACATTAATTTTTACAGTTGATTTCTTTTTGATTCGTAATTTTACAAGACTGGCAATTTACAGTAATTGAACTTATAGATTATGTCGTGAATAGAATGAGACCTCAAAGCACATGCAAAGAGTCTGATCTGCATGGATGTATAAATAAAAGAAATATCTAGGTGAACTTTTTACATTAAATAAAGAAATAAGACTCGGTAAGGAAGTTTAAATACTATAAATTATTTGGGACAACAAACTTGAAAAAATACTCTAAATAAATGAAGTGGGTACAATAGATCCCTAGAGGCCACAGTATTAAAACTTTCAAACTAATGATAATAGTTATAACAACAATAATATTAAGAATTAATTATAGAGCGTGTTAGAGCCACGCTCTATACTATTTGTGATATTGACGAAATTGTTTTACGAAGGCTAATAATTTAATTATGTATTTTCTAAGAACTTGTGTATGTCAGTTTCTAAATAAATGAAACTGACTATTAGATGTACCTACATGCGTTCCCACATGCTATTCCAACCCAGAGTAATAGATTGTTAATATTAGTAAATTTAATTAATATAATTTCTTCACTACATTACATACATCTTGACGAACTTATGTTATCAAATAATAGTGTAGAAAGGGTATAGAAGAATTTAAATAAAATTTTGTACAAAATGATTTAATAATAAACATTAATTTTTAAATCATTGTTTCTGATACATATTTGGGTGGCCAGATATTTCGATAATATTTTATTATTGCATTCGATGATTCATGATAAAATACCCTTCTTAGTAGTTTATTAATTGCTGTCTTTCTATAAACTCATTTATTTAATATTTTAACAGAACTTTTAAGTGCTTGCAAAAACCATTAAATATTTTGAAAATATTGAAAAATATATATTATATTTTATAATAGTGCATACAGTAGTGACCTGAACGTGAACTACTCATTCTCATTTAACATTTTCTATCTGTGCATGCATAAAAATGGATATAAAGCAACTGTTCCATTAATAAAATTTTTCATTTCAGTTTTAATTTGCCAATAATTTCAATGAATAATTTCAATTTGTTCTATGCGCTGATGAAACTGATGAAAAAGATAAAACCATTGAGTTTGCCGCGGCTGAACCAGGCAACGTGTACATAATTACTGGATGCGAGCCAATAAATTTGTATACAAAATTTGTATACGAAAGTATAACCAAAAAATAAAATAACACCAGAAGCAATAAATAAAAAGTCATATAACATAAATGAATAAGTAGGAACATTTCTACATTATTTTTAACACTATACACTGTCATAAAATTTATTTAAAGTTGACTATTTTTTCCTTTGACAGCTAATGTATATGACGTACATATGCGAACGAGCGCACTGGCTCCGTTTCCATCGCTAAAACTGGCACTGGCACTGGCACTGGCGTTGGCACATATGGCTTTTGTGGATCGTCAAGAAACATGGGAGAAGTACAAATGCAGTTTGTAAATGTAAACAAAAGGTTTTGTTTATTTTAAAATATTTAAAATTTTATTAAAATTTTAATACAATATATGTATTTCACGTATTAATTCACTTCATTTCCATATATTTGTAGTAGATACATCCGAGTAGCCACTCACATACTCTCCAACGAGTGCAAGTACAGCAATTTTTCAACAAGTTCAAGTTTATGGTTTTACAACAATTTCTGTACATTTTCCGGTAAAGTAAATTCAAGATTTTTGTTTAAAATAAATTAAGTTAAGACACGTGTCGCCTTTATGGCTACTTTAATGCTTTATAATGTAATTTTGTATTGTTGTGTTGTAATTTTATGAAGAGTTCCAAAAAAAAAACAAATATACTATATATACAATTTTCACTCCTTCAACAGATTTCCTGCTTATTTATTCATCAAAACAATCGAAAATAACAATGAAATTTTTGAATGAAAACCAAAATAAACGAACTTTAATGGTTTAAAGTTTATTAATAATGAACGAAATAATTAAAAAATATAATAATTTTTATTACAGATTTACGCCAAAACTATTTGTTTTCAAACAACAAACATTTAAAAATTTTTTTGTAAACAAAAATATTGAATGAAATTATTTTTCATTGCAGTTTTTAATGAGAAAATTTTTACTTCAAGTTAATAATTAAATAAGTTTAGTTATTGCCAATTATAATTTGTGAAAAATAGTTTCAGATATATCTATATACATCTGTTTACATTTATGTATAAGTTTCGCTTGAATGTACTCTTTCTTACTTACAAGTAGGAACTAGTTGTCACCTTAATCTTAACAACATAGGATGAGGGTCTATCAGTCGCGATACTCACAGCAACGCATCACTCACACAAAGGTGTGAAATAGTCCCGAAGATGCGTATATGCTATCTATTTTATCTATTTTAACAAGGTATGGTCACGCGTAATGCCATACTAAGGCCATGATGCGTGATACTGTATCACACCCTTCCTGAAGTGAAACTGTTTTGATGTTGATTTGTTGCCGATAATTATGCTCGCGATGCTACAGTTTAATCCAGGTCTTCTTGGCCACGAATTTTTCGCAATTCACCACTGTTTATGATCTTTATATATAGTATAGTTATTGTCAATAAAATAGAGGTTTCCAATCAAACATATTTCACTTATGGCACAGTATGAAAGAGTTCGACGATTAGTCTACACTATTAAAGTTTTGACTTAGATTGTTCAGATTAATCATACATACAATTTCTTATAATAGCGTCAGAAATAAATTCAAAAACTACAAAGAAGGGAAAAATGAAGTATTGTCGCAAGTTATTGACGAAAAAACCACAAAGGTCATTATTTTATGTTTTACAATAAATAGGATTTATTAAGGTCATCAATATATTTATGAGCTGTGAAGATCAATTCCAAATTCGATTAAACCAACTTTTTATTCTCTCTTTTAAAATCAGATAAAATAAGATCTGATGGTGGATGTGATAGTATCTTATAACGTAGTTGGACAAATTTTGGTCTGGCCATTTCTGGCAAATGGTCTGGAAGTGTTGTCCTGGGGAAACAAATTATTTTTTTACTTTTTATCTTAATTTCGCTATCGAAGAGATCTAAAAGAATCATATAATATTGGTACTTTTAAGCTTTTACGAAAAAATTAATTACAATGAACAAATAAAAAAAAAAATAGAAACCATGATATTTCAGACTTATATAGCTGTCTTTACATTTCTGAAACACATTCATCGGAAGACCTTTTATTTTGTTTCCGAAGTTGAGTGGTAAACTTATATTTTCTATACAGTTAAAAGTTAACGCAGATGCTCTTTTGAATAATTGTGAAATAATTTGCAAATACTGCTTGAAAGTATTTGCACGAGTATATATCTGATCTATAGTCAGTAATTGTGTTATTCAACTTGGTGATAACTTTTTTTAAACAAATGCTATTAATGTGTCTACTTAAGATTTTTATTGTACTATCACTTTGAATCACCACCACTTCGCGCACTTTAAATCTTAAATTACTAGATGATTGATTTAGTTCGCTATATCTGTGGAGTGCTTACCTCATATGACCTCATACCTCATACGATTATTCGAAACCCAGTAAATCACTTTTGAATCATTCTACAATATGATGTAGAATTTCCATTTTGCTTATCGCTTCTTTTTTTTTTTTGATCAAAATTTTATATTTTTTTAAAGGTTGTGCTTAACCAACACGTTAAAGTTTTGTGGAAACATTTTACAAATTCATCAAAACTTATGAGTGAAGTCAAAACAAAATTAGTTCCCATGTTGGAGAAATAATGTAGATTCAAGCTTTCAAATTTTTTCATGCCATAAAAAAAATTACAAGGAATATTTTTTAAAATTTATTTAGTGTAGTTATCCGAAGATAATACTTTTTTAGAAGAATAGTGCCAAAGTTTAAGGTGATTACAATTTCTACAAGGTACGGGTAATAAGCTTCTTCTAATTGAAAAACCACGACACTTGCTTTGGGAAGAGAGAACAGAACAAACATCAATGAATGTTTCATGAAGCTTTGGCTTATTCGGTTAAAACACACGAAGACATTTTCTCTAATATGAGAGGTTAAAAGTTCTTGATCTGTTTCTATTTTGTGTAGAGTGTCACGGGCACGTCAAAATCAAAATTATTGTTGCTTTCAATGCAAATTAAAAAACTGAGAGTGAGAGAAAAATCAAATACCGGTTTAAATTCAGTCATGAGAGCTGAGGCTATCTGTACCTCGTCACTAGTCAAAGTCGTGTTATATGTATGTATGTAAGTATATATTTCCTTTAAAATTTAGGCACAAGGAAAAAATACAAAACTATTAATAAGTAAGAAAAACGAAACTGACAAACTTATGTGATACTCTTTTGACGTGCCCGTGACACTCTACATAACATGGGGCTTAACATTGTCGTCATAACATAATCTAAACTTACTTATCAAGCAGCCTTCGTATATATTTAGTTGAATTTAATTTAATTTGCATTTTATTTTATTTACACTACATTTTTCATTATTATAAAAAAATAGCTTTTTGTCATAAAATAGTTGCCTATTTCCATATCATAAACTAACTCTTACTAACAATAATAGCAGTTTAACAAGAATGCAAAAAAAAAAGTTTTCCTTTTTTTATATTATTAAATTATCTACAATGACAAAATAAGATCGATTAATACATATGAAGTGTGTATATTCATAAAAATGTTTATTATAACTGCATGAGACAGTATGGCTAATACTTCTCACAGTAAAAGTCGGAAACATACAAAGATCTGATTTTGTTGTGACTATGCGACAACTAAAAATTTAATGATCACAAAATAATGATAATCAAAGTTATCGCTAAAAGTTCGTTATTATCTTAATCATCACGATGATGACTTCATACTAATATTTAATATTTGTATAAAAATATAATATAGGCAAAAAGCTGACTTAATCGACATGAGCATTTAAATGCAAACACACAGATATCTATAAAAAAATATAAATATATTTATTTATTTGTTTATATGAATTCGGTGAAAATGTCGGAATAACGTGAATGTTATTATAATTATATGCATATATATATATACACATATACACATACGGGAAAGACAATTTACAAGGCTTGTTTGTAATTTGTCATATTTCAAACAAAATTATATATTTTGTGTATAATAATAATTTGTAACGTGTAGTTAACCGAGCATTTAATTTAATAATATATTTTGTTTTATTTGTTCAGTAAAATTGTGTTTAATTGGTATATCATTCAGAGTATTATCATTATATATTTTAATTATATTACAGAAAGTGAAAATAAAATTTTAAAGTTGAATAAATTTTAGTTATTAATTTAAATCTTATCAAATCCCTTAAGGTAAACGTACTATAGAGAGATAACATTTATCAAAAATGTTTTTATCATTTATTTAAGCCAATAAAATTCATATTTCCTGAATACTGTGTATTAAATGATTAACAAAGAAAGTTAGATAAAGTCTGTATTAAATGAAAAGAAATCAATCTATTAAATTATTAAATATCTTTGTATTGAAATATGAAATGAAAATGATTACAATATAAATTAACGCGAAATATTAATTATTAATTGACACAAATAAGTGTACTGCAATGGTGTCATCCTCACTGGCGTGAAAGTATTTTATGGCTTATTTACATCGTATTTTTGTGCTGCGCAGATTTCTGTAATAAAATTTGACATTATCGCCAAGAGATACAACAATTTTGATGATTACACATAAAAGTTTTACTTAATAAAATAATTAACTACACTTCTTATCGGAAACAGATTAATAACACCCAAATGAAAAAAAAAATATGCTAATAAAGAGGCGAAAAATAACATTAATCTACCTATAAAAAATTTAAGATCCCGACATGAATAAAAAAAAATTTTGATGAATACGTTTAGTTAATATGCGTTCAATAATAATGTAAATGACCGATTTTACATTATTTTCAAAACACTAGTAAAATAAGAATTATTATTTCTTATTTCTGTTATAAGCAAAAAATCGCTTTTCATACATCAATTTAAAAGCAGTATCAAAAATTCACATTTGAATAAAATTGTTGAAAATGAATAGTACCAATGGATGCATAGCAAAACATTCTAAAGTGGACAGTCCTTTAAAATTAGTAAACAATAATAATCAACGTAATAAATAATTATAAAAATTATTAATATATAAAATTTAATATTAATAAAAATTAATAATAATAAAAATTCATAATAGTAAATTTTAATGATAATAAAAATTAATGATAATAAAAATTATAAATAAATAAACTTTAATATTAATAAAATTTAATATTATTAAAATTATCATAATAATAAAAATTAATAATAATAAATATTAATAATAAAAATTAATAATAATAAAATTAATAACTAAAAATTAATGATAATAAAAATTATATATAAATACATATATAAAATTTTATATTAATAAAAATTAATAATAATAAAAACTATACGTAATTAAAATTTAATATTAAGAAAAATTAATAATAATAAAAATGATTAAAAATAAAAATTATTAATAGCAAAAATTAATAATAATAAAAGTTATAAATATATAAAATTTAATATTAATAAAAATTAATGATAATAAAAATTATACATAAATAAAATTTAATATTAAGAAAAATTAATAATAATAAAAATTAATAATAATAATAAAAATTAATAATAATAAAAATTAATAATATTAAAAATTATAATCAAAATTAATAATAATAAAAATTAATAAGAATGAAAATTATAAATAATAACATTAATAATAATAAAAATTAATAATAATAAAATTTAGTATTAAGAAAAATTCATAATAATAAAAATTAATATTAATAAAAATCAATAATAATAAAAATTAATAATAATAAAAATTAAAAATAATAAAAATTATAGTATATAGTAAAAAAAAAGAATAATAAAAAACCATAATAAAAAGAATAAATATATCTTAATATAATTTTTGTCATCAAAACTTCACAGCTATTGCACGTTGTTTCTGATTACGTCTAGTATTTGAAAATTTAAACGGAACATAGACCTACACCAAGTATTATAACAGTTTCAACAGTTACTTAACACTATTGAGCGCCCTACAACAGCATTAAAAAAGTCGAACGTTTCCCAAACGTAATATAAACAATGATCTTTCGGAATAGTTAAAAGATCAGTCAATGTATGTCTTCATTTTGAAAAAAGTTTTCTTTTGTCAAGATAATGAACCGGCACCCATTCTGTCAGTTATCGTAAATAAAATTCACCAGTTGTGTTGCGAATTATATGATCATCCTATTTATTCATCCTGTTTATTTTATTTTCAAAGTTTGTAAATCGGTACATTTTGTAGGTACTTTATAGAAACTAAAAAAATTGGAGCATTATTGAGAAAACTGTTTGAAGTTAAAAAGAGTTTACTTTAAAAAATAACAAATAAAAAAAGATTTAAATAAAAACCTCTTCAATACTGAATGAAATCAAACTTAATTCTCTCTACAAACGAAAAATTCGCTATAACTTTTCTTAAGTATATTTAAAAAAATATTTTGTACTAAAGAAACTAATCATAGAGGCTACTAATCATATATTAATAGTTAAATAATTAGATAAAATTATTTGAGAACTTAAAACGAAACATAAAGACAGGTGTATCTCAGGATGTAGTACGTTTTCTTGAACTCAAACATAAAAACTTTTATAATATATATATTATATATTTTATATACATTCTACATATTATATACATCATATATTATATATATTATATATATCATATATATTATATATATATTAAATAGATTTTCCATGAACTGCTTATTAGAGTCATGGTGCTCACAGTACAATGTATAATAGCAAAATTATGTTATGTATCTATTACTATTAAACTATTTCGAATATTTGCAAAATATATAGATATACGAGAATATACAACTTTATAACTCACCTTCATACCATAACCATTTTCATCTTTGCGCACCGTTAATGTTAAATATTGAAAATGTTTGGGCGATTCGGCAATTGGTGAAATTTGTATTTGGGGACGACGTGATGCCATATTTATGCTATTGCTACGATGATTATTTGTGGTACCATTTGTGGTACCTTGGCTTAGTTGCACGCCGCCCCCCATTATGTTGACGGTACTATTATTAACATTATTATTGTTATTAATATTATTGCAATTGTTGTTGCTGTTGCTGTTGCTGTGACTTATACTGCTGCTTTGCTGTGAAATTGGCGTCACTGTTATTGGTGTTGAACTATTGAGATTATTGCCTAGGGGTGCAATTGGCGTTGAACTACCATTCATATGTTTCGATTTATTTTGGTAGTTCAATGGCAGAGGCGGCGTTTGTGGTGGTATTACTGAAACCGTTGGTTGTTGCTGCTGTTGCTGGTAACTAAGATTGTTATTACTGTTGCTATTGCTTAGACTACTTGCTAATGACGGTGATCTTGGTATTTTAGATTTAGATTTGGATTTATTTTTTGCTTTAGAATTTTTTACTGATTTTTGTTTTGGTGGTGGTATTTCAGGCGGTACATCAGTATTTGCTGTTGCTGTTGTTGCTGGTTGCCTACTTGTTGTCTCGTTATTATCACTGAGCAGCTGTTGTTGATTGCTTGATTCTTCTGGTAAATCTTGCACGTCGTCATATTCATGCTCTTCAGTACCAAAATCAATCAACCTAAAATAAAATAATAATTGTAATTTAATAAAAAATTTTAGTATAAAAATAATATTACATTTTTGTTATTTAACATTTAACATACATACATACATACACATATATTTATTTTTTTTTGAAAAAGTTCAGTTAAGTGTAACTACTTTTTTTTAATTACAAATAAAAAATTGAAAAAGAAATAATTTAAATAATTTTTGTAACTAGCTCCATACCACACCCATATGTTGGTTAAATGTATTTTTCGGGGTTACTGAGCGTTCATTTGTCACTTTACTTCATGTATCTCAGCGTTTAATCAATTGTTGCTATTGTTAGCTAAATTTTATTGCAATTTCAAAAAGTTTACATCATCGCTGATTTTAAATGCCATAATTTTGCACTAAAACAGTTTCAATGTTTAAATGAAATAAATTTAACATTTACGTGGTCAGAAGCTAAACAAATTATTAATTCATATTCATATTTATGTTTAACGTTTAGAGAATATATTTTTAAATATTTTTAGTTAATTAAACTATGACAATCATTAATCATGTGATGTAGTTGATGGCAACATTGATTTGTTTGTAAATAAAAGTTCTGTTATAGATTTAGTGAAAATATCTAAGCTCATTATTTATTCGGTGAAATATAAAGTTCGTAGGTTGTAAAATATTAAAATTGTTTTGAATTTTATATTATCTTTGCTTTTTATAATAAGTAAATGTTATTACAGAAACTTTCTTCTCTGGATCAGTGTGAATAATAATTAAAGATGGCATATTAGGTTATACGTGGTGGAATGACATTTTTCTGGATCTTATCAAAAGATCCAGATAACAGATTTGGGTACAAATCTGCATTCAATACGTAATAAGAAAATATAGCATATATGTTTAAAAAATAAATTTTTCTGATTTTTTTTGATTTTAAGAATTAATACGCAAACATTTCTACACTTCGGTCGGACTTATTCCAATACTCGCAACCTCATCCACCCCTTTCGCACACATATATCTTACACATACCTTCTTCTTTCCTTATTTGTACCTTTCAAGCTATTTACGTGTAGCTTGTGGAAATTTGTAATATTAAACAATCTAAACTATATTTATTATAAAACGTTGAGAAGGACTCGTTCTCCCTCCACCACAACTAACTAAACTATATAACGTTATCTTGTAACACTAAATAACCTCAAGGTCGCGTTTGTGTACACAAGATGTACCAGTGTGTCAAGGTCTTATACCATCTCAGTTAGAAAATTAAAATATTATTAGCTTATTGTTATTTCAAGTAGACTCCAGGATATTAGGATAAAAACATGCCGTTAAGAGTACCATTTGAATAAATTCGACTATACATTTTCTTATCACTGAAGAGAAACTCATAAGTTGTCCTCCTTAATTTAAAGTTATTAATAATCTAAATGCTATCTACCAGTCTTTAGGCTGTAATAGTTATTATAAACATTGTGAACGTAGAAAATGTAAACTATAGAACGCAGAAACAGTCATTAGTTATGACAGAGTATACATAAACTAAAACAGTATAAAACTACAAAGAACAATAGTTCAATCCGTTCACTCAACAGTTCTCAGTTGATCTAGAATTTTCTTGTATGATTACATCAAGTTTGCATTGTTTTTTCATAATAGTATGTTTCTACTGACTTCTTCAGACCAGTTAACCAGTTAACTTACTTGAGATTTAAGTAATTCAAGCAATCACAAGTAAGTTAACTGGTCTAATCAAGTCAATGAAAACAAATTATAAGATAGAATGGATCAACTGCTATCTTACGTCACAACTAATTCAGCCTTAAATGCCAGATTTCATTCAGTTTAACAAAAAAAAAATAGGGCAGTACCTGCCTCATTTCATGACAAATTAATTAAAAGATATTAGCAGATATTTTGAGTGATAAGCATTTAAAGTATTTATTTAAAATCATTTTGCGAATTCAAATAATTATTTCCTAACCGAAATAGTACTGATAGAATTTGATCTACCATTTTTATAAGTTTTAAAGATTCATTTGAAAGATCATCGTAGTTTCAAAATCTATGAAAATTAAAAATGATTTTAAAAAGTGTTAGGTATATATTACCTTGTATATATGTAATAATTACATATTAAAAAATTTAATTACTTTATTAAAAAAAATGCAAAATAATTGACCTTCCCTTATTTATAGTACAGTACGCTTCATTAAATTTTTTCTTATCTTAAAAGCGATTTAACCAATTTTTATCTTCTACTACATCACTGATAACCAAACTGATAAAATATATACCCTTATGTGTATATAATAGAAATAAGTTCAGATAAAGAAGCATATGTGTGCAAAGCTGTAATTTAAAAATAAATTCCAAGAAATTCTAAATAAATAAGGAAATACATAAACTAAGCTAAAAATATTAAATTCAAACATTTTGATTTGATTTTTTGAAAACGTAAACTGTAATATTTTGTATTTCAACGAATTCAGACAAAGGTTATTTAGTACGTGCTGAATAAGTATAAAAACAATCTATGAAGTATTCGCAATGAATTCCCAACAGACATTCTGCAAGTCTTTATGAATTTCTTGCTTTTAACGATAACGATGTTGGCATTACACAAAGTATGTAGAAGTCATTTTGTACTAGGAAATTTCAAGTCAGTCCATAAGCGGATACAACTGCACCTCACTGTAGGTAGACGTATAATTGTTTTCACCCATACAGTGAAATTATTGCATAATTGCATTTAATTCAATCTCAATTTGCACATAATGCCAAATAAATTAATTTGCAACACTTTCACACCATTAAGAGCAAATAATTTCAAAAAAAAAAAAAATAAAAGCACATTCATCCAACAATCATGAATTCAAAAAATGTATCTTATTGCCAGTGCATCAAATAAATAATGCTTTTTATATATTTTAATATATTTTAGTAAATTATATGTTGAAGAAAAAATTATGTGACAACTGCAGATGAAGGGTACCACCAATAATGAAATTCCCACAAAATTTCCATAAAATCAGCAAATAACGGAAGTAAAATTTGCAATAATAAAATGAGAGATAAATTAAATAGCAGATGGAAGCATAGTAGATACAACAAAAATGGTTGGGAAGAAAATACAGACATTAAGTATCTAATAAATAGCATCTATCTAATAATAGAAAACCAGCGCAAAGCAAAGCCACCATCACAGCAATAACAACAATTATCATTGGTAATAATTAAACTCATTTGGAATTACTGTACAGACACAAAAATGAATAAAAACACAAATAATCACAAAATGGAAAATAAAATTCTTAATAGGTTCAAAATAGACTAAACATTTACTGCCCCGTTTTTACGAATAAATCTGCACAGCATTCAGTAGAAAGATTTTTTGTTTTTATACTCGCATTTAAAAAGTAACAAATCAGCACGAATAATAAAACTTCGCTAATTAAAAATTAAAACTAAAATTAAAGCAGACAATATCCACTGCATTCACATGTGAGACCAATCCATAATGAAAACTTTATTTTCTATAGAGATATGTTATATGCACATATACGGTGGGGCTGCTTGGCAGTCAGTTTTGAAGTGAAAGAAGTTGGTTTTCTTTTACTTTTCAATTTATTTATAGCCAAAGCCCCTTTGAGATCTATACATTATATATAACAATATTTAATTTTTTTTATTAATTTAAATACCTTCTTTTTCAAACTATTTAAAACTCTTCATGGTCCATAATGTATTTATTAATTGAAAGTAGTAGAAGTGTCAGTCTTGTACATCAAAGTTCACTTAAGAACAAATAATGGCACGTATATGAAATCGCCTGAAAACTCTCCTAAAGATAAAAGCCCCAAATATCTAGAGCACTAAAGACGTCTCTTTTTAAAAGCGATACTCCCAAATTCAAGTATAAAGAAACTAACCTGAGAAGTCTATAAATTTGGCTATGTATCCAAATTTAAAGAGTGTCACGCTTTCAATTAAGTTAGGAAGACCCACACAAAATTTTGATGAAGACATCTCCTAGCCAATGGTGAGCACTACCACATGAGGTGGAATACAGAAACAGCTTCATCATCCGCAGAGCCACAACATCGATAAAAGTCATTAGAGTCATCACCGATACTGGGTAAATAAATATTCATATCGGATGTCTTGGCTTTTCTTGCAAACCCCAGGTATTTATGTTTAATTGCCAGTTCAACAATTCCGAAAGAGAAGTTTATATTGAAGAGCAGCTTTCATGCATTCACAAGTTCATCTGTTTTACAGTTGCTTAACACCTGGACTCCGTGTTCTGGTATTTATTTGAGGTACTTGGCCTAGATAACTTATTTAATTAATCTTGGGTTCTCGAGCTACAACAGAAGCAAGCGTAAGAACGATTAAATTTTTAATTGCAGCTGGATGTCTGAAGAAATTGCTGCATTTTTTGCCAGAACCGTATAGATCAGAAGTCAACAAACCTAGATAGCTTATAAATCCCGGTTATAGATAAAATAAAATAATTCCGGTTATCTCGGAATAAAAGGAAGTAGACGTAACAACAAGCAGCTTGTATGTTTAAAAAAAGTACTACATGCATGTCAAGAACTGTATAGATCAGGACCCTCTTTACTGCGCAGTAAATTTACCAATATGTATTTTACATACTATCAAAAGTTTTAATTTGTTTCAGAAATAATTTCATTTTAATTATGCTTAGTTAAATTATGAAATTTTTTTTCGTTTTTACAGATTCACGCAAGCTTAAGCATGTTAAAACAAAAGTAGCTCACATATCAGAGTATTAATTTAAACTATAAGTTTTTAATATTAAAAAGTTTTAAAAAAAATATTAAGGAAATAATTTAAAACATCACTAAATTATCACTAAATTAACAATCTTAGTAAGATATTTTTTATAGACTTAGTTCCGAAACAATTGCATGCTTCTAACTTGCGTTTCTTTCTTTGTAATTTATCAGAATTAAAGCTTTCTCTGATTTTTACAATTACACTAAGTAGTAAAAT